CGATGAAAATCCATTATCTGGCGTAGTAGCCGAAACAATGAAATTTCTGGGAAATAGTTCCTACGGCTATCAAATAATGGACAAATCAAAACATACAATGGCAAAATATCTTGGAGACAAAAAAAACTCATAAAGCTATCAATAACCAATTCTTCAAGAGACTCAATGTCGTGGCTAAAGATTTGTTTGAAGTGGAGCTTGTTAGATCTACTATAGAGCATCGTGAACCAATTATAGTAGGATTCTTTATACTACAGTATGCCAAGTTGAGAATGTTGGAGCTGTATTATAACTTTTTTCGATAAATTTTGCGATGTCAACAAATTCAAGAACTCGAAATGGATACAGATTCCCTCTATTTGGTTTTGGCAGATAAAGATTTAGATGATTGTATCCTTCCCAAAAAGCGAGCACAATGGACTGAAAATTGAAGCAAGGACTGTCGAGACGACTTCATAGCAGATGCGAAAAACAACTTCTTCCCCGTACTTGCTGTTCTAAACATGAGAAACATGACAAGAGAGAACCAGGATTGTTCAAGGAGGAGTTCAGATGTACCGAACTGTTATGCCTGTGTAGTAAAACCTATTGCTGTTACGATAGTAAAAGTCAAAAGTATAAGTTTATCAGTAAAGGTCTGAACAAATGCGCATTAGAAGACTCTGGAGATGGACCGATGGCAAAGTATCGACAAGTACTGCATGAAGCAGTGAATTTGAAGTCAACGAATAGAGGATTTAAAACGATTAGCCATGCAGTTGCAACTTATGAACAAACTAAAAAAGGACTGAGCTATTTTTACCCAAAACGGGAAGTTGAATGTGATGAAATAGATACTAAACCTCTAAGTTTGTAAGGGATTGTGTAGTAGAATTGTATACGATGCTTTGGATTAATACATTTTCTCTGTAATTAATCTGTTTTTGAAAAACTATTTTTAAACGCTAGGTTTGGGATAACAGTATTTTGATTGTCGATTAAGAAAACATTTAGAATTTGGATTATTGGCAAAATCGAGCTTCAAATGTTTTTTGAAAGTTACCATCTTACCATCTGAATTTATGACCAATCTTAGTACACTGGAATATCTATTCCCACGTAATACACCAATAATATTTTCACATTAGGTAACGCGCGCCGAGATATTTGCGAAAAAACTAGACATTTCCACGTTTTTCTTACCATTGTCTTACCATCACACGGAAACCTTACCATTGGTATTACCTACTGTAGACCTTAATGAACTGTAGACTCTACTACCTATGTTAATACTTAGGGTGATGACCGGATACTCCTAAGTTACCGGATAGGCCTATGTTAAAACATGGGGGCCATCACCCCCGGACGATTTGGCTCCAACATATACTACTCGCAACTCAGAGTTTTGGAGTTTGATCCGTTTGTTTCTGACTTAGTTGTGGGGAGCAGCAGATGTGAGAGACTAATTGCTGCTTTCATTGCGTCGTTAGAATTTGGTGTTTCTTCTACTAATGACAACAGCTGCTGGTTCAGTAAATCTATGAATTGGAAACATTGCTTGTTCTTGCGTAGAACTATGAAGCGCGGTTTCCAGTTAACGATTTTTTTATATGTCATTTATTTTAGTTTCAAGTTCTTAGTCGATAAGTTTCCAGGGGTCGAAGTGGACTTTAGTGATTGCTGGGCGCGATGGATTAGATTGTGTTGCCTTGTGCAGTACGTTTAATTCGGCTGGCGGAGATGGACCCTTTTGCAAAGATTTCGGATGTGCATTGTATGCAGGAGAACCCATCGTAATAAAATTTGCTGCTCTGTAGCCCGCTACATGAGACATGGATGTCTGCTTTGCAAATGGCACACCATGTGCCTCCTTCTCGGAAATGGCGTTTACAAATATGGCAGTGCGATTGATCGGCTATAATTTGGCAGCGAGGAGGATAAATTTATAGAGAATATTTACAAGCTAGCTCAGCAAGCAATAAACGGAAAGTTTTTGTTAACATAAAAAGAAAAATGAATACCATCTTTACCAAACATGGTAGCACTAAAATTATCGTATAGATTGGGGGAAACAATTCGGATTCTTTAGCGGTTTATTGTCTTTATAAGGCGAAACAAAGAATTATTTAGAGCATCAAAAATTCTGTTTAAGAAGTGATTATTTGCAGAGACGATGGTTTTGGTGATTATAACAACATTTTGGTTAAATTTATGAATTATCAAATTTGTTTTAAATCTCCAATCATTAGCAAAAAAACTGAAACCGTAGATGAGTTATCATTAAAGCCGGCTTCTATAGTAACACAGTTCAGTTTGCTAGGGGTAGCGCGAGACAGTAGCGACAAGGTCGGCTAGCTTTGCACCTCTGTACGTGTGAATCGTGACTCCGACATCTTTGGGGCTGCAGTACTTAGTCCTTAAGGTTTCCTCTACCAGTTTCCTGCTCCACTTGGGTGGGCACTTCGGTCTGTACTTCGGCACGGACATTTACTTAACAGGGTACAAAAGAGGCAAATTAAGAGAAAGAATAGATTGTAAAATGGATTGTAGAGAAATGGATTTAAAGAAAACCACAAACAAAAGAAATGAAAGCGATTACAATTTGGTTTTTTACTGGTGGAGAATCCATTGGGGATGTCCGGGTAGAAGGGTAGTATCTCGGCTTGACGAGCTTGTCTCTAAAATCCCGTCTTGGGCCTTCTTCTTACAAGCGTACCATTATAACCGTACCATATCAGATGAAACTATTTAATAATTTTATCACAACAATTAGGCTAATTTGCAGCTGGTTAATTGCATGTGATTATGCAGATACTTGAGGAGGAAATTATAAAGAACGCAGTGGGTGAGTAATCTCATCAGCAGTAGCTGTAAATTCTATTCAACAATAACAAAAACTGTACAAAAACAGTAGTAATATAGTATCTTAATAGTATCAGCGTATCAACCCGTTTTAGGAGTGAATTCGTGGTCTGAGGATACTGACACCCAGCTATTATGAAAATGCGTTAATATTGAGAACTCAAACAAACGTTTTCGCACATTTCTGTGCATCTTCAGTTTATAAAATCTCTAAACTATCTGTACAAAATGATCAAAGATCATAAAAGTGTCATACACATCATTATTTGAAAATTGAAAAAAATTCAACCAATCAAAACTTCACGATTATTACTGAAATTATGTAACAACTACTATGTAACATTTTGTCACAACTTTCATAGAGTTTTCACCCTTTTTGTTTTTACAATTTCATTTTGTCGCTAATTTTCATGCTAACGTGTAAGTTATTTCAAAATTTTTTGTTTTTGTCAGATTTTTTCGATTCTGGAACTATAGCCTTAGTGTCAGCTCCCCTTCTAAATTTGTCGCGCGTGTTAATTGCCGGGCTCTCTTTCTTAATGTGTTACTTATTTCCAAATAAGTAACTTGATGCTGCTGGACGCCTGGTCGATTATCTTCCATTTAAACTCCGACTTACCACTCTCACTACCACACTGCCTTATATGCTGTCCAAATTGGGTATCCTCTTTCGGTGTTCCTCAATCCTTGTGGTGAGATGTCGTACCGTCTGGCCAACATAGATGGATTTGCACCGCCAACATAGATGGATTCAAGTCTGTACACCACTTTTGATTTGAGTTCACTGGAAAAAGAGAATTTTAGAGAGGGCATAAAAGTTTTCATTTTCCTCGTCGTGAATATTATCTGCGCATTGGCGATATCGAGCACTTTTTTTTGCTAACGTCTGACTGTGATTCCCCATGTATTGGACCATCAAGATGGCTGGTGAATCACTGCTATAATCATAAGGCTTTTTTTCTCAGCCATGTTCTTTTTGTATTTGCCTTCCCTGATGATCTTTTCAAGCGCATGCGATGCAAACCGCGACGACCAACTTTCCTGATTTTGGTTATCCAACCATATTTCCGGATATTGGTTATCCCAGCTATTAGCTCACTATTTTACATGGAGGGTAAGTTAATTTGAGCTGCTCGGCTGATAGCGTTGAAGCAGTAACGGTTTCATCGACTCGATGTTACGAGAACCACATTGAATTGGCTATGGTAGAGACGATTAAAAGCACGTAAAGCTCTATTCAGATCGGTTTAGAACCTAGCCAATCGGCTTAGAACCTAGCTTTACTTTCTATCGGTTTGCACTTCGGGCGAATCTTATGTGTGCTTGACAATAATTATAATCATCATTTGACTTTTATCTGTACTTTTGAAATTACTCAAGTGCTTTTTTTAAATTTAAAAGACCAACCGTTAACTAAACATTTCTTACAATAGACAAATACTGTAATAACCAATCAGGATCGAGCAGGAAATAAATAATTCTTTTTTGTTCTTATCGTCGTTTGTTTTTTTATCTCCATTCTGACTCTTCAATACTTGTGTGTCTACGTTTTGACCAGTATGAAATAAGGTGAATTCCCATAGGTTCCAATATTCATAAGTTCCAAAATAAAAAATCAGTCGCATAAGTTCCAAAATTTGTCTTCTTGAATTCTGATTGGTTGAAATTTGAGCCAACGAGTTTATGGATTGATTGTTTACTGTTCAACCAGCATAAAATCAAGCTGCAGATTAGAGACCGCCGCAGCCGCGCCAACGTGTTGCGAGCGTGCCACCAAAGGGTAGGACTCTATACGAATTTAAAGCCGTTTATCGCCGCTGAGCGGCGACGCGCGCCTAGTGCGTCCACCGGCGACCTTAAACCGAGACTCGGCTAATTTAGTCTTTTGACCAATTGAAAAGATTTGGAACTTATGCGACTGCTTTTTTGTTTTGGAACCTATGAGACTGATTTTTTATTTTGGAACCTATGAATACGCACCTGAAATAAATGTTGTCTACTTTTTGGAAGCACGAGTATAGTAACTTCGGTTACCATAATGTTTTTCGACTTGATTATGAGAGACAAAAAAGAAAATTAACGTGTAACAGTAGAGGTACAGATCTGATTGTAATCTGCTTCAGAAAAGCTGTCATAATTATGAAGGTTGTAGCATTTTCAGATTTTTTGGCATCGATTTTCCTTAGTCAAAGAGATGAGTAATATATACATTAAGGAACCTCCTACATCAGGAAAGGTTACTGAAAGCCCTTTTGTAGAATCATGAATTGAAAATATTAATTTTTGATAATTTTCTTCAAATTAAAGGTTTTATTGGAGACATCTGTTGGAGACATTGATATCGAGCTGTGGTGCAAAGAGTGTCCTAAAGCATGCAGAAATTTCATCCAACTATGCATGGAAGGATATTTCAACAATACTTTTTTCCACCGCTTAATTCCAGGCTTTTTAGTCCAAGGAGGAGATCCCAGTGGAACTGGAGACGGGGGAGAGTCAATATATGGCAAAGCTTTTAAGGTATGAAATAGTTATTTTTTTTTACAACGCTTTACTATTTTCGGAAGTTTTTTTTGAAATTATTGCAGTGCACTTTTTATATTCAGAAAAAAACACTAAATAGCATAGCGCCTTCTCTTGCAACTATTGAAAAAAGGTATGAATGTCAGTTTTACGGCTTTAAAAAAGGTTCCAATTTTCTTATTCACATCTATCTATCTATTATGTATTTAAATGCGGGCTTCACTATCTTCCCACGTTTGAGCTTTTTCAACGTATTATTTTAGCATACTTAACGAAAGAATTCTTTCACGTTTAACCTATGCCGTATATAGCAATTGTTAAGAATTTTTTTTCGATTTTTCAGTTTGAATTTAGTGGTTAATTCACCGAGTTAAAAATAAGCATCCTAATCGTGGGATGATGTCAGGATTCCCCCAAGTGTTGCAAATTCGGCCTCCAAATATGAATGCCCAAATCATTGTAGTGTACGAGATGCGACGATTTTTGTGATTTTTTTCAAAAAATTTCAGAAAACTGAAATAAAAAACTTGAACCCTGTATGTGGGTGCTATCAGAGTACTCTCAAGGATTTTGCCTCCAATATTACTGCTCAAATTCTTGTAGTTTTCGAGATATGACGTATTTTATTTTATTTTTTCAAAAAATTTCAGGAAACTTATATTTATTTTAAAAAAAAAATGAAATTCCCAACCCTGTAGTTGGGGGGGGGGGGGGGGGCAGTCAGAGTACTCTCAGGGGTTGAAAATTTTGCCTCCAGTTATGACTACTCAACTTTTTTGTAGTTTTCCAGATATGAAGTTGAAAATTTTGAAATTCAAGTATCTCATCCCTGTACTTGGGTGCTGTCATGGTTTTCTGAGTAGTTGTAAATCTTGCCTCCAAATATGGCATCTCAAATATTTGTAGTTATCGAGATGTGACGTTTTTAGTGTTTTTATAAGAAAATTTTCAAAGAACTCACTTACTAAAAGATTTGAACTCCTTACTTGATGATAACCTTATTGTCAGCGTAAACCCATGCGTCGCGAATCTTGCCTCTAAATATGAATGCTCAAATACTTATAGTTTCCGATATATGAAGTTTTTTTATGATTATTTCCAATATATGCGATTTTTCATGAGTCGTCAAAACATTGAAGCACCGGAGGTTTTATTCGCCTTGTTACACTAGCGCGAAGTAAGGGTATTGCAATCGGGTACTAGGTAAACAACTGTTCACAGATTTGCATATGCAGTACACGCCATGCATGCAGTATGTGCGTCTATTTGCTGCGATATGTTTTAAATTTTGGTCTTTTACTCCTCTGTGCTTTCATAATTAGTGTTTTTCCAAAAAATTTTTCAAAAATTTTTTGATGATATTACTTTGACTATTTTTGAATTTTCGACTTCGTCGCTTTCGGTTCATTGTTTGTCGGCTTAGCTTCCGCTTTTGTTTTTACCAGCCAACTACATTGGTCATTCCAATGTTGTTTATGGAGGTTAGAAGGCCATTGATTTTTTCGAACTTAAAAATTTAAATTTGCAGCGTAAGTTTTCTTTTGAGCAATTTTCCGACTAAATTTATCACCATTAATGCTCACCTTTTTTCAACAAATTTTAGCGTGTTCCTTCATTTATTGAACCTTCCAAGAGAGTTTTTCCAAGAGGGTAAATGTTAATTTTAGTTTTCTAGTATTTTTACGCGCCTCATCTTTCATATTTGATAAGTTTGATGTTTTGGGGTTGATTCAAAGTGTTCATAGGTTTTCTGCAATTTGTTTTTTTTATGACAGTTTATTAACTTTTGCAGTCAATTTTGAAGTTTTGGTTTTTCATTTTCCTGTATACCTGTATGACATGCATGTTGTTTGGTTGTGCGATTTTATGCAACGTTTTTGAATTCAATTGGGAATTTTTTGATCATTTGATCGAGTTTTTTTTATCGTTTCCGTCTATTTTTTATGAAAGTGAAATGAATAGACTTTGTGTAGCTCCAATCCTTCAAATGCTTTATGCATTTGATTTCCATGAGAATTGATATAAGATATTTTTCATTTTTTAGCCTACGATTTCAGTACTTTTTATTTGTATAGCTTCGCCTGTGTCTGAGTTCATCAAATGAGATTTTATGGAGCGTTAAAAATGGCTGCATCGTACCTACTTTTTACGATTGCGATAGCAAGTATTTTGCAATCGTTTGCTAACCGTAACTTTCTTTGTTCACAGGACTCACTGGACTCATTTTCTGGTAGCTTCTGTTAACAACAAAATATCTGCACCCAACATATTTTGTGCATGTTAGCATTTTAAACATGTCCTATTCGAAAGTTGCTTTTTATGTTGGTTGTCCTTCATCAACCTGTTAAAATTTCGTTTTTTTTGTTTCTCTTTTGTTTCGAAAGTATATCGCCTCAGTGGCCTCATATTGCGTCGTTTGAGGGCGAGTTTTTTGTGCGTGTGTGTTTTGAGGGCGATGATATAATAATTTTTTATAAGTCTTTTAACTTTTTTTTCCGGCTTCGGTATTGTGCTATGTGTTTCTGCTGCGGTATTTTTGTCGATGCTACCGCTTGGTAAGTTTTCTTCCGATGCCAATTTCCCATTATATTGTCTTGGCTAGTTTTTGTTTTAAAACAAGCTTTATTCATTTTGATAGATAAATTTTTTCGACTTAGCGGCTTTCTTGTTTTGTGTCGCAAGTTGTGCGAAGCTTTGCTTGGCCTCTGTTATATTTTGATTGTTTTCGAAGAATATGAAGTATGTCGATTTTTTTTTCACAGTAAAATTTAACGCGGTAATTTCGACTTTTTTGTATAGCAAATTGTGCGAAGTTCCGCGTCTCGTATGAGTAACAATAGTAACCTTCAAAATTCTCTCTCATTCTTTTAAAAAAGATTATCGTCTTTTTTGCTATTCGCCTATAGTTCAAGCCGCTTATATGTTTTGTGCAAGATTAAACTTTTAAAAATCTGCGCTTAAAAATTTTCTTAATTGTTATCCGATCTACTTCGTCTGATTAAAATTTTTTTAAAGTAGTTTTATGCATGATTTTTCTCCTTTGTTGCATTTTTGGGGCAAGTTTTTGTAAGAGAGTAGCCTTGATAGCCGTTGATATTGACTTTTGGTGCTCAGTTCATCTTCTCGAAATAATTGGAAAATAATCTAATGTGTTTTAACCATATTTACTCACTTTTGCTTCACTTCGCCTTTGTATTAAATAGTGTGATTTTCTTTTAAGAGTTGATGAACGAAGTTCAGACTCTTATATAGGTCGTGCGGATTTTTTTTTCTTGCAGGATATTTTTTCATGCTCTAATAATTTGAAGAATTGCATGTTTTTTCTTATGTTACTTGCAAATTACGAAAGCGTAAATGTCACGAAAAATGTGATTGACTTCTAGTTTCGAAAGTGGAATTTAGTTTTCAGATTTTCCAGCTGAATGAAAACTTTACACATTGATCCAGTTTTCTCAAAATGATTTAATTTTATCAAAAATTGCCAATCATAGTTTGTTCTTTTAATTCAAAGAGATTTAAAGCCATATTTTAGAGATTTGAAGCCATACAGTTTTTGGATATGTTTCTTTGCTTTCATCGCCTCTTCATAACTGGCTATGTTTCGTGAATGCAGGACGAGTTTCACCAGAGGTTAAAGTTTGAGCGTCGAGGGTTGCTGGGCATGGCATCTGTAGAACCCAATAGCAATAGAAGCCAGTTCTTTTTCACGTTGGATGCAGCACCAGAACTCACAAACAAGAACACTTTGTTCGGAAAAGTGAGTGGCAACACTCTTTATAATATGCTGGCTTTGGGAGAAACAGGGCTGGAAGAAGATGGTCGGCCGTCGAAGAAAAACTACATTTTTAAAGCAGAGGTCGTTTATTCATGCTGATGCTGTTTGAATGGCTTTAGAATTAGTCTCAAAGTTGATAAGACCTTTTCAAGAGTCATGATCGAAGTGATTACTTTATATAGGTCTTGGTGATTTTTTTTTTAGGGAAAAAGTCTTAATATTTATTCACGTTAGAATATGATTTTTCGCGGTGTGACTTCAATTCCTTTGCTTAAAGGAGGGCAAACTCCACTATCGAACAACGAAAGTGTAAAGGTCACGAAAAACGTGATTGACTTCTAGTTTCGAAAGTGGTATTTAGTTTTCAGATTTCGAAATCTGAAAATTTAATTTAGTTATTGATCCATTTTTCTCAAATTGCGTTAATTATATCAAGGAAAGTGCTTATCATAAATTGTTCTTAAAATTCAAAGATCTCTGAAGCCATGAAATTTTTCTTTAAATTCGAAATTTGAAGTTTTTTCAAAAACAAGTCGGTATGTTTTTCTGTTTCATTGGTTCTTGCCTTCATGATTCTTGCAAGTGTCTGTTCGCAATGTTTATTTCAAATTTAACAGGTAATTGGAAATTGAATGCGATTTAGATTCTAAACAATCCCTTTGATGATATTGAGCCTCGAGAAAATGTCATTGCTGCGTCTCGTGGAAACTCCAATCAGAAGAAAGAAAATGAAGAAGAAGCCCCAAAAGCGAAGGTGCAGGCAGTCAAGTTAGTAAAAATATTCATCGATCGAACTCAGAGCTATCGAACATGACTCTTGTTTATATTTACGCCTGTCTTGTACCAACTACAGGTTCCAATAAAGGCAGCTTTTTTCATTCAAGTTTTTATGCGGGGTTTTTATAGCATATACTACATCAATTGAAATGAGTTTTATTCACTTCTGCACGTTTAATTTTTTTCAGCCGAAAGATTTAAAAGTTGTTTACTCAAACTTTGGTGCTTTGAAATGAAATATTTTTTGATACTCAATATTTTTTTATATTTAACTGTTGGATTTAACTCTTATAAAGGTCTTGCTGATTTTCTTGTTTTTTTTTTTCACGAAAAAGTCTTCAAATATTGATGCACTTAGGTATATATGCAGTTTTTGAGTTTAATTGAAATTCATCTGCTGAAAGTAATTTAAATAGCCCTCTTCAAATACGAACGTGCAATTAGCGCAAAGAAACGTGAGCGATTTCTAGTTTCGAAAGTGGAATTTAATTTTCAGATTTCCAGCGGAATAAAACTTTGCCTGGTGATCCAGTTTTCACAAGTTGGATTAATGTTATCAAAATAGCGCCAATCATAAATCGTCCTAGAAATTCAAAGAGCTTAAAGTGCATCTATTTTTTTCTTTGATTTTCAAAAAATGAGAAAGCTTACTTGCGTTGATTGCTCCAGTCCTATGTTTCCAGTTGCCAATTTGAATTTCAAATTTCTTGCTTGGCATGTTTGCCTGGAATTCTTCTTTGATAAAAACAGGTATTATGAAAGTGTATTGGTTTTTTTATTAAATTTTTGAGACGCTTTCGTAAATTTCAGTACTCTTTACAAAAAATTCTCAAAAAAAGTTCTACCGGATTTCAAAAAAGCTTATCCATAGAAAAACCGCCTACATTTTCGTGTGCCCGCATACTCTCCTGGATAGGCGGTATTTTTATGCTCGGATTTTTTTTTCTTCAAATTAGTGTCTTTTTTTGTGCGTCGTGTGATGATAGAACTATATTAATGCGTAGAAATTTAATGAATTAGGCAATTAACAGCTTTTTAAAAAAATATATGTATAAAAAATTTAGTATTTTTTAAAATTTTTGCGCTTAAAACTTTTAAATTTACGTTTTTTTTTGTCAGAGAAGCGATAAATGAAGCTTCCAAAACTAGATTTTCTTTTTAGTAAAATCAAGTTTTTTTGCCTAAATTACTAAAGCTTATAAATAACGAACGACACTGAGACAAATTTTCAATGTCGTTTGAATCTCGACAAGGGCTTCAATATGATATATCACTCGACCCAATTCGATGATTATTTGTTATACCTGATTTAGCGTGGTTAAGGTAACTAGTTGAGGTTTGTCGAGTCACGGTTCTTTTTCGTTTTTAGAAACTTCAATCTGTTATCTTTTGGCGATGAAGCGGAAGAAGACGAGGAAGAAATGGACGAAAAGTCAGCAGTTCAATTTAAAGGAAGTGCTCATGATTTACTAGCAAACGATCCCAAACTAGTTAAACACAATGAGAAACAAAACACTCGCGAAGACGTGGAAATTGTTTCTAGAAAGCATAAGGTTCAACCAAGTTCGGATGTCGAAGACGATAACGCAAACAAAAATAAGAAAGCTAGAAATAGTGGAAAGTCAAAAAGTGCAGATGATTCGGATTCTTCTGATTTAGACATTAATAGTGAGGCTGAAAGAAATACGACAGAAAAAATGTGCGTCAAGTTTGAGTTTGTATTTGAAGGTAACAAATAAAAGGCCGAGTGACAAAGAGCCAGAGGAAAATTTACAACCATTGTAATTGCGCGCGGATCTAAAATTTGTTGAAGGGGAGGGGGCACCATTTCCAAAAAATTTTAAATTTTGTAATTGACCTAGTTGATTTTCCGAGCTCTCCTAAAACACCCTAAATCCGCTACTGAGTTTTGAATCTTACTTCAATTTTCAGAGCAAAGCTGAAAGAAGAATCAGAAAATCTGAAGGCTGAACTCAGTTTGAAAGCATCGAAAAAGGCACAAGAAGCAAAACAAAAGAAAGAAAAAGAAATTAAAGGTTAGATACTGACCAAGAACTCTTATTGAATAGAAAGAAAAAGAAGTTTCAACTGTTTGTTATTCAGATCAACAAAATGCTGATGACATCTACAGTACAGCTTATATGAAGAAATACCAGCATCTGAAGAAGAAATCGTCCAAATCACAGTCGGAAAAGAATTCCAAACAGGATTCCGTAAGTTCCGCAATTTGATATCAAATCCCAGAAATAGTTTGCCGTACAGTCTATGGTATCCTAAAAATAGAAGGTGATTCATGGATTTTGATTGATTACACTTGCTAGAGCTAGTAGCTTGTAATCGAAAACTAGATTTTTTCCCGTAAACAACATTTCTTACAAATCTGTAAATTGAACGTGCTTTATAAATGAACCTTAACATCGTCTAGACTCTTTTCCTTTTAGCCTGTAGGTAACGTGGTCGTCTTAGCACCCTAAGGTCTGAGGTTCATTTTGATAGATAAATTTTTTCGACTTAGCGGCTTTCTTGTTTTGTGTCGCAAGTTGTGCGAAGCTTTGCTTGGCCTCTGTTATATTTTGATTGTTTTCGAAGAATATGAAGTATGTCGATTTTTTTTTCACAGTAAAATTTAACGCGGTAATTTCGACTTTTTTGTATAGCAAATTGTGCGAAGTTCCGCGTCTCGTATGAGTAACAATAGTAACCTTCAAAATTCTCTCTCATTCTTTTAAAAAAGATTATCGTCTTTTTTGCTATTCGCCTATAGTTCAAGCCGCTTATATGTTTTGTGCAAGATTAAACTTTTAAAAATCTGCGCTTAAAAATTTTCTTAATTGTTATCCGATCTACTTCGTCTGATTAAAATTTTTTTAAAGTAGTTTTATGCATGATTTTTCTCCTTTGTTGCATTTTTGGGGCAAGTTTTTGTAAGAGAGTAGCCTTGATAGCCGTTGATATTGACTTTTGGTGCTCAGTTCATCTTCTCGAAATAATTGGAAAATAATCTAATGTGTTTTAACCATATTTACTCACTTTTGCTTCACTTCGCCTTTGTATTAAATAGTGTGATTTTCTTTTAAGAGTTGATGAACGAAGTTCAGACTCTTATATAGGTCGTGCGGATTTTTTTTTCTTGCAGGATATTTTTTCATGCTCTAATAATTTGAAGAATTGCATGTTTTTTCTTATGTTACTTGCAAATTACGAAAGCGTAAATGTCACGAAAAATGTGATTGACTTCTAGTTTCGAAAGTGGAATTTAGTTTTCAGATTTTCCAGCTGAATGAAAACTTTACACATTGATCCAGTTTTCTCAAAATGATTTAATTTTATCAAAAATTGCCAATCATAGTTTGTTCTTTTAATTCAAAGAGATTTAAAGCCATATTTTAGAGATTTGAAGCCATACAGTTTTTGGATATGTTTCTTTGCTTTCATCGCCTCTTCATAACTGGCTATGTTTCGTGAATGCAGGACGAGTTTCACCAGAGGTTAAAGTTTGAGCGTCGAGGGTTGCTGGGCATGGCATCTGTAGAACCCAATAGCAATAGAAGCCAGTTCTTTTTCACGTTGGATGCAGCACCAGAACTCACAAACAAGAACACTTTGTTCGGAAAAGTGAGTGGCAACACTCTTTATAATATGCTGGCTTTGGGAGAAACAGGGCTGGAAGAAGATGGTCGGCCGTCGAAGAAAAACTACATTTTTAAAGCAGAGGTTTGTTTATTCATGCTGATGCTGTTTGAATGGCTTTAGAATTAGTCTCAAAGTTGATAAGACCTTTTCAAGAGTCATGATCGAAGTGATTACTTTATATAGGTCTTGGTGATTTTTTTTTTAGGGAAAAAGTCTTAATATTTATTCACGTTAGAATATGATTTTTCGCGGTGTGACTTCAATTCCTTTGCTTAAAGGAGGGCAAACTCCACTATCGAACAACGAAAGTGTAAAGGTCACGAAAAACGTGATTGACTTCTAGTTTCGAAAGTGGTATTTAGTTTTCAGATTTCGAAATCTGAAAATTTAATTTAGTTATTGATCCATTTTTCTCAAATTGCGTTAATTATATCAAGGAAAGTGCTTATCATAAATTGTTCTTAAAATTCAAAGATCTCTGAAGCCATGAAATTTTTCTTTAAATTCGAAATTTGAAGTTTTTTCAAAAACAAGTCGGTATGTTTTTCTGTTTCATTGGTTCTTGCCTTCATGATTCTTGCAAGTGTCTGTTCGCAATGTTTATTTCAAATTTAACAGGTAATTGGAAATTGAATGCGATTTAGATTCTAAACAATCCCTTTGATGATATTGAGCCTCGAGAAAATGTCATTGCTGCGTCTCGTGGAAACTCCAATCAGAAGAAAGAAAATGAAGAAGAAGCCCCAAAAGCGAAGGTGCAGGCAGTCAAGTTAGTAAAAATATTCATCGATCGAACTCAGAGCTCTCGAACATGACTCTTGTTTATATTTACGCCTGTCTTGTACCAACTACAGGTTCCAATAAAGGCAGCTTTTTTCATTCAAGTTTTTATGCGGGGTTTTTATAGCATATACTACATCAATTGAAATGAGTTTTATTCACTTCTGCACGTTTAATTTTTTTCAGCCGAAAGATTTAAAAGTTGTTTACTCAAACTTTGGTGCTTTGAAATGAAATATTTTTTGATACTCAATATTTTTTTATATTTAACTGTTGGATTTAACTCTTATAAAGGTCTTGCTGATTTTCTTGTTTTTTTTTCACGAAAAAGTCTTCAAATATTGATGCACTTAGGTATATATGCAGTTTTTGAGTTTAATTGAAATTCATCTGCTGAAAGTAATTTAAATAGCCCTCTTCAAATACGAACGTGCAATTAGCGCAAAGAAACGTGAGCGATTTCTAGTTTCGAAAGTGGAATTTAATTTTCAGATTTCCAGCGGAATAAAACTTTGCCTGGTGATCCAGTTTTCACAAGTTGGATTAATGTTATCAAAATAGCGCCAATCATAAATCGTCCTAGAAATTCAAAGAGCTTAAAGTGCATCTATTTTTTTCTTTGATTTTCAAAAAAATGAGAAAGCTTACTTGCGTTGATTGCTCCAGTCCTATGTTTCCAGTTGCCAATTTGAATTTCAAATTTCTTGCTTGGCATGTTTGCCTGGAATTCTTCTTTGATAAAAACAGGTATTATGAAAGTGTATTGGTTTTTTTATTAAATTTTTGAGACGCTTTCGTAAATTTCAGTACTCTTTACAAAAAATTCTCAAAAAAAGTTCTACCGGATTTCAAAAAAGCTTATCCATAGAAAAACCGCCTACATTTTCGTGTGCCCGCATACTCTCCTGGATAGCCGGTATTTTTATGCTCGGATTTTTTTTCTTCAAATTAGTGTCTTTTTTTGTGCGTCGTGTGATGATAGAACTATATTAATGCGTAGAAATTTAATGAATTAGGCAATTAACAGCTTTTTAAAAAAATATATGTATAAAAAATTTAGTATTTTTTAAAATTTTTGCGCTTAAAACTTTTAAATTTACGTTTTTTTTTGTCAGAGAAGCGATAAATGAAGCTTCCAAAACTAGATTTTCTTTTTAGTAAAATCAAGTTTTTTTGCCTAAATTACTAAAGCTTATAAATAACGAACGACACTGAGACAAATTTTCAATGTCGTTTGAATCTCGACAAGGGCTTCAATATGATATATCACTCGACCCAATTCGATGATTATTTGTTATACCTGATTTAGCGTGGTTAAGGTAACTAGTTGAGGTTTGTCGAGTCACGGTTCTTTTTCGTTTTTAGAAACTTCAATCTGTTATCTTTTGGCGATGAAGCGGAAGAAGACGAGGAAGAAATGGACGAAAAGTCAGCAGTTCAATTTAAAGGAAGTGCTCATGATTTACTAGCAAACGATCCCAAACTAGTTAAACACAATGAGAAACAAAACACTCGCGAAGACGTGGAAATTGTTTCTAGAAAGCATAAGGTTCAACCAAGTTCGGATGTCGAAGACGATAACGCAAACAAAAATAAGAAAGCTAGAAATAGTGGAAAGTCAAAAAGTGCAGATGATTCGGATTCTTCTGATTTAGACATTAATAGTGAGGCTGAAAGAAATACGACAGAAAAAATGTGCGTCAAGTTTGAGTTTGTATTTGAAGGTAACAAATAAAAGGCCGAGTGACAAAGAGCCAGAGGAAAATTTACAACCATTGTAATTGCGCGCGGATCTAAAATTTGTTGAAGGGGAGGGGGCACCATTTCCAAAAAATTTTAAATTTTGTAATTGACCTAGTTGATTTTCCGAGCTCTCCTAAAACACCCTAAATCCGCTACTGAGTTTTGAATCTTACTTCAATTTTCAGAGCAAAGCTGAAAGAAGAATCAGAAAATCTGAAGGCTGAACTCAGTTTGAAAGCATCGAAAAAGGCACAAGAAGCAAAACAAAAGAAAGAAAAAGAAATTAAAGGTTAGATACTGACCAAGAACTCTTATTGAATAGAAAGAAAAAGAAGTTTCAACTGTTTGTTATTCAGATCAACAAAATGCTGATGACATCTACAGTACAGCTTATATGAAGAAATACCAGCATCTGAAGAAGAAATCGTCCAAATCACAGTCGGAAAAGAATTCCAAACAGGATTCCGTAAGTTCCGCAATTTGATATCAAATCCCAGAAATAGTTTGCCGTACAGTCTATGGTATCCTAAAAATAGAAGGTGATTCATGGATTTTGATTGATTACACTTGCTAGAGCTAGTAGCTTGTAATCGAAAACTAGATTTTTTCCCGTAAACAACATTTCTTACAAATCTGTAAATTGAACGTGCTTTATAAATGAACCTTAACATCGTCTAGACTCTTTTCCTTTTAGCCTGTAGGTAACGTGGTCGTCTTAGCACCCTAAGGTCTGAGGTTCAAGTCCCGGCCGGGCGTTGTTTTCCGCATGTATGAAATTGAGCTTTTTTCCGGTAAAAATTGAATTGCCTGTCATTCGCTTGTCTGTTCGAGTTTTTTCGGCTTTGGTGCTACGGGTTTTCTTGTGCTTTAAGCAAGTGTTATTGTAGTTGCAAGTGTTGTTCAATGTAGTCTCAGGGGACTTGAAAGATTTTAAATTATTTTCTAATAAAAAAAAATTTTTCGGCTCCTGGTGTTTGCTCAAAGGTTATCGGCTTTGTTTCCGCTTCGTAACTGTTGTTCCATCGCTAATTTAATATTCAAATGTTTTGATTGGCATGTTTGTCTAAAATGGTTTTTATCGTGACATACGAAAAGTTTGGTAGACCTAGTTTTAAACATTTTTCTTTTTTTTTTCTACTTCTCATGTTTTTCGTGAGTGTTGTATTCCAAGTCGTGCTAAGCTTTACTTCGCCTTTGCTATTTAAGTATTTCTCGAATTAAATTTGGTCGACACGCATTTCTTGTCACATATTTGGCACCTGTTAAGTTTAGTTGCGCATTTTGCCCCTCACACATTATGACCCTCTCAAATGTAGTGGCTCATTTCACCCCTCAGACATTTGTCCTCTAATATCTTACACTAAAAGTGCTCTAATAAATGTGGTACAAAATGTGTGACTGGCAACATGTGCCACACTCATTAAGTTTGAATGACCAATTGACTGAAGTTGCCAGAAACTTATCTTAAATCAGAAAAATAGATATAACAGATATACGACGTTCGAAGTTGAATCAGTTTGTAGAGAGCTAAGTTCGAGCTAAGTTGAAGGTATGTGTTATCTTTTTAGACAATGAAGATGTTGGCGCAGTTTGAAGCAAAGTTGAATGCGGCAAACAGGTTAAATTTGGCGTCCAGTTACGACGACGACGAAGAAGAGGATGATCCAACTGCCGTCACTACACAAGATGTTCACAGCTCTTCAGCGTGGTTAGTATGCACCTCAAAGTTTTTTAATGAGCTTTTATTTAGTCTTGACGTTCGTTTGCTTGATTTTGTCTGAATGATTTAGCTTAAATCAGCAGTGACGCTTTATTGAGTTAACGCTTGGTTTCGATCGGGCATCTGTCATATAGTCCTAAGATATGACGTTTCTAAAAATATATGAAAACCAAATAGATAACGTATGCGAATCAGTGCTTTAGATGAAAATCAAACTTTTTTCTATAACGCAATAAAAATTTCTGGTATTGTGGCACTCCGGTAGTGATGGTGCCCAATTGTCATATGATTACTGGTTCAAATCCCGGACGTGCGCTGCAATTTTCTAGGTGAATTTTTGCAAGTAAGCCATGCTTAAATAATTAACCTCCGTGTTAGGCCTCGGGGCTGGTTGACTAAAAAATCAAGTTTTTCTCCATAATTCAATAAAAATCAAGTAATCAAGTGTTTTTGTATAATCCAGGTTGACTCACACATTCAAGCCTGAAACTGATGACTCGAAGCAGGCAAGAGACGCCAATGTGCAGAGGGCGGACGATGAGTACGAGATATTTGACCCCAGGAACCCCATGAACAAACGCAGGCGCCTCAATGAGGCCAAGAGTGCCAAGGACAGACGAAGGCCTCTAGCAGGAGTCAAGGATCTGGACTAGTGGCAGTCAAAAAGAGTTGAAATTTTTATTGGTCCGCTACAGTTGTCTGAACTTAGCGGAACAGTTGGCTTGTAAAAGTGGCGGAGCAATTGGGTCCTTGAGTCGCCGAGTTTGATGCTCTTGCTCTCATATATTGCGGTCCGTGCTTAGTTGACGATAAAGCGTGATTCGTTGTGGATTCTGGAAGGCTTCTAGAAACTCGAAAGATTACAAATGCAGTTTTAAAAATATTTATCTGCTCAATGTGTTTTAACTGTTGTTTAATTTTCTGATAAATGCTATACTCGTTAAAAAAGATTTTAAAAAAATTTTAAAAGTAAGAGAAATTTATTGTCATTTTTTTTTCAGATTCTCGGCCAATGAACATACTGCTGAAATGAAGACGAACAGAAAACCACCTTTGAAATTATCGTGGAGCCATTTTGAAAAAGTTGAGCGAAGGCTGGGATACCCGAAGGTTTCAAATAGGACTTTGAAGTGCCTCCAGAGATGGACCCGACATCACGAAGTCCAGACATTCCACCCCTGAGTGAATATTTGGATCTTATCGAATCTGATGTGTCGTTTGTTGTTTACATTTTGAATTTACTGCTTTCGCTTGGATATTGGACACTTTTGTCATTTCTTACGCTCAATGTCTTCGTCATGGCAGTATGTATGAATTGGGTCGGTCTGAAACTATTTTGCAACAATTGATGGCTTTTCAAATTGAGACTACTTCTTCAGATCTACGAATTTTAATTAAACGAATGCGACAAAATGCCTCAAAATCAATTCGTCAATGCAGGATTTGAAGCCCAAAACAATCATAATGCTTTCCATGCTTTAATTTTCAGGTTTATCTCAGGGACATACTGTAAATCGATGTATTCAATGGCATTTCATTTCTTTGTAATTACACAATCGAGCGTTTAGCATCTGTGCCTATTAGCATACAATAATTGCTTTAACTGGGCGTACTTTCAGACGGAAAACAAACAAGCCTTAATTTTCAAATATTTTAAAACCATTTGATTTATTAGATGATTTTAATATTCATTTTCGCCTTATCAAAAATTCGGTTAAGCACACGCTGTTGAAAAATGCTAATTTTAATTAACAAAACGCTAACAAGCGAATTTTCAAACGAAATTCTTTTAAATGGGCATGCTAATCGACACACGTGCTAATAAGCTGGTCCCCGGGCGTAGCGTAGTGTGATAGTACGATGAAACTTTTTTTTACAACCGAAATCGCAAAGAAAAGAAGTTCCAAATTATTACCTGCAAAAATTGAGTTAATGTGCATTTTAAAGCTCCTGAATTGTTGCCGCTTTCTTGCTCGCATTTGCGAAGCTGCAGCTTCGCCTGTTTATGCGAAAAATTTTAATTCGGTTTTAACCCAATTCCTTAAATAGATAGGCGGCATTCAATCATCAGTTCGGAAATTAAAACATAATTTTTTTTAGCAATTGCTTAAACGTATGTCCCTGTTATTTACTTACAGCTTATGTTATGTTGAGTTTATTTTGTTCCTAAATTCCGCCAAGCTAAATCAAGAGTTTATATTATATAAATTTAAAATTAATTCAATTTGACGCATTTTTATTAAATAGCTTAAAAGTTTGTAAAATTTTACACAAATTTGTTTATCGTTATAGTTCAAGAATATTATGTTCATCTCGAATTTTTAAATTCAATTTCAAAAGGCATTGTTTTTGAGTTTTAGATGGAAGACATTAACTATCTTTTGAAATAGCAGATTTTTGCAATATAATTTTGCAAACAGCGTTTTCAATCTAATCTTCGTTCAAGTCTTGACTTTTGAATTCCTTTTATGTTCACTTCAAAATCAGTTGCTAAATGGAAGGCAAAATACGCTCTTCAGAGATCAAAAGGTAAAGGGCGCGAAAAAAAACTTATAAGTGGTTTTTAACTATAAAACACCACTGAGTGATGGAAAAATTTGTGTTGTTTTTGATGAAGCGTGTCAAGTAATATAAGATGGGAAAACGAAATACCTTTAATGTGATGTATTTTTTGCTCAAAATTCAAATATTTTAAAATGTTCGAACAAATTGTGTATTTTTGACAGTCAGTTATTGTAGTAAAGACTCTTATATAAGTCGCGATGGTTTTTTCTTATTATTCTGAAGTCTTATTCGGGCTTAAATTTGATTTTTCGTGGTTTGATTTAAGATTTCTTAAGTTCGTTTCTTTTTTTTTGTCAAAATGATTGCAAACATGGAAAAGCAAAAGTGTAACAGTCACGGAAAACGTTATCGACTTCTTTTTTCGAAGTGAATTTTAACTGGGTTTATATCATTACACAAGCATAATTTTTGTTATAGTATGAACTATCTGTTTTTTCCAACCTAATTCGCAAATATTGTTGAGACGCAAATAATGTTGAAATAAAATGTGTGCGTTTTGATAGTGTTTATTTTGATCAATAATCAGCTATTAAGTACAGCCAACGCTAAGGATTTTAAGACCGACTATTATTGTTCCGGCTTTCGTAACGGAATATTTGGGTGGGTTTTTTTTGACAAATTTCGACTTTCTAACTAATTATTTTTTATCATTCAAAAGCTATTGTTGTCCTGAGTTTAAAATTGAAAAAAAAATTCACCTGTGATGAATTTTCGTAAATTTATGGGGGGTTTAATAATATCGATTTTGGTCAATTTGGGAAAATTAATTCGCGATATATTTCGGGCTATTAACGCGTAAGCGGAGATTTAATCCGTCTCAGACATCGTTCCATAATTGATTTGGGCTCTTTTTCCTCCGCCACCTGCAAATTTTTACAAGTAAATTTGTTGACCAAATTGTCCGATTGTTATGAAAGTTTATATACAGACTAATAAGGCCACGACAAACATGTTTGGTTTTTATAATCAACGTCATAAAACCACTCGTTCCACTAAAAAATTGAAGCTCGTATGAGGTGGGTAGAAAAGGAAAAAGAGCCTTGTTTTGTTACTAGGAGCGACATTTATCATTTTGTTCTTTATATAGCGTGTGGAGGGATGATTTTCACAGAAATCTCCTTTAAAAAAAATTCATTTTATTTTAATTAACATTCAATTTTTTCATGTTATTACTGCTCCATAGACCTTAAAAGGCAATCAGAACATTCAGGGCTTTGCCCTGATACGAGCAGTTTTGTATTACTAATAGTTCTTCAGCTTCAAGGTATCATGGATCTGTAGCGTAGAGGTAGGGAGCAGACCCGCCAAAAAGTAAGGGTCGAACCTGGGCAGGATCGGATGTTTTTAAAGAACTTTTTGGTATACTAGCTAAAATGCGTCCGCTCTATAATTTGAGGCATGTGCAACTGGTAAATTTCTTTCTTTTCAAAATGACTGATACTGCTAAGGCGTCGTAATTGGCTCGCGTCCCTTAAGAAATTTTGTAGACTCAAAGATTTACTCATTCATTCAGTTTTTCCCAGCAGGGTTATCGGTCATATTTTTGCTTGTGTATGCCAAGTCCAACTTCGCCTCTGTGTCAAAACAGTGCCAATCATAAATTATTGTAATTTCAAAGAGCTTTGAGGCCATTGGTTTCTTTGAAATTCGACAGGTTTAAAAAAACAAGTCGGAGTTTTTTCTGTTTACTTGCTGCGTTCATTGACTCTCCCAACTTTCTGTTGACTATAATCTATTAACTGAAATTGTGGCACGGATTGCAATTGTTTTATTGATATTCCCGCGCTGAGTATCATTTCGTTTCGTAGGATAAATTGTAATCGAAATAAATACCGTGAAACCTTCACCTTAGTTGTTATTGATTTCAGGATAGTTCCTCCCAAAACGAGAATTGTAAGCAATGAAATCCGCTCTGGTTTTTTTCCAAGAGTTATGAACATAGTGAATCCTTTTATCTAGATTTTGGTGGTTTTTCTTAAGTTAGTTCGTTTACACTATCACAACCTCTACTATCGAATCGAACAGCAAAATTATAAAGGTCACGAAAACTGTGATCGGCTTCTATTTCGAAATTGGATTTTAGTTTGCAGATTTCCTAGCGTACTTAAAAATTTTCCTTTTGATCCGGTTTTCTCAATTTGGGTCAATTTTATCAAAAAAGTGTCAGTCATAAATCGTTCTTGAAAGTCGAGCCTTATAACCATATATTTTCTTCTTTGTATTTCGAAAGTTGATTTTTTCTCTTAAAAACACTAATATATATTTTTGTTTCCTTGCGTTCATGGACTTTTTACCAACTGTCTTGAATTTTGCGCACTCGTCTCCTATTTTTGTTGCCATAATAGCTAGTTTTTAAGCCAAGCATCAGATTTTTGTAGGTTTTGGGATGGGAGGGTGGTGTAAAGAGCATGATCAGCGGCATACTGTTTGTTCATTGATTTTTAGACGACTCAGTATTTTTCAATTTGGAGCTGCAGCCTCGTTGATTTGAATTCTAGATTTTTTTGTTTGATACTAATACTGATATCAACTAGTGATCTCGGTCTGTGCTAAATAAGGTTGAACACGGCAGTAGGCTAATTGTAACAATAAAAAAGACGCAGAATTGGCTGTCACCAGGGCGACATAATTGTTTCACAAGCAGTTTTGTACTACTCACATGTTTTCTCATTAGACAGGACAGCAAGTCTTGCTTCGAATGCTTTCTTCATAGCCTAGCATTTCTAAAACTGTTTTCAATGTTTTTGACTCGACTTTTTATCAAACTTAAATTTTATTGTTCTTAGCCAGAAAAGAGTTTCGACTAGAATAGAGATCAGGTTTTCGGATTGATGTCGAGCTTATTAAAGTATGCTGATATTTTTCATATATTTGTCGTGTGGTTTGCCCAGAAAAAAATCCTCTACTGCATGAATATTTAATACCTAATTTTAAATTATAATTTGCTTGTCATTGTCAAATATGAATTGAGACAAGAATATAGATCATTAATTCGTATTCGCGCGCGTTAATTCGTATTCGCAAATGCCGACTGCCGACATAAGCCCATTGAATTTGTGTTTTTTCCATTGCCAAACGACAAATTTTGACTTGAATGTCGACTGCTGGAAGCAGCGCTTTAGGAAGACCGGCAACTGTCTTTATCACTATCATCGAACTTGTCCGATAATCGGCAGAACAATTAGTAAAAAAAATTCTTGAAACTGTCAATTTATTTACTCGCTTGTGGGGTTTCATCGGACCATTGCTAAATTGATAATGTCTATGAGACATATGAGAGCAGCCGTGGTCGAGTGTGTTAGGCACATGTCTCCCAACACGAGG